TGTGCTGAATGTCTATAATTTTGTTCAGATGACTACAGAACCTGGGAAAGCTGTTGCTGCTATTGATGCATAACATACTGCTATTATTGGTCTTTTTATATAAATATAAATATATATACATATATATAATTTGAATTTTTGGAAACTTTAACTGTACTGTCGACTTTGGAAAAATTATCCCAATTTACTGTGTTGAGTTGGCATTGTACAGAAATTAACAGCCATATTGGTCTCAAAATGTTAATTTTTTTTTCCATTTCTACAGGCGTAATGCACTGTGTTAAATATGTAAGTTCATATCTACATGGCTTTGATGATAGAAACTAATAAAGTATTCTCTAAATAATGAAAAAAAGAGAATATATAAGACTACAAGAGCAAGAAGCAACTTAAATATGTTCAAGGACCATTTTCTTCTTCAGAATTAAGGATTATTTTAATTTTACATCGTTGCCTTTTCTCTTTTACTTTCCTTTTTAGTTTTATTTTAGGATTCCCTATTTTTAATGTTCATATAGAGATTTCTTTAACTGAAATACCAATTAGACTCTCTGGTATGAAAAACTATAATAGTACACAAGATCCTAATGAGATAATTAATAATGTGAAATAGGAAGTAAAGGCCTAAAGGTGTAGGGAAAGTGGTAAGGGTAGGGGAAAGGTAATAAGGGAGAGGGAAAAAATATGAGAAAATGAAAAAATGGAAATAAAGTGTTTGTAAATGGGGAAGGGAGGAGTGGTGAAGGGAGGGCAGGGACAAGGGGAAAAAATGAGAATCAAGCCCTGTCATGTAAAGGTACAGGATCCCAGTAATTAATGTAATTGTATACCTAGATTGTACCAATAAACTCAATAAAAAATTTTTAAAAATTGGTAAATAATTTTAAAATCAATGTTTTACATCTCCAAGATTGAAACATATCACAGCATGTAAATCTCAAAAGGCCTCAAGTTTTTTTTCTGTGAAACATCAGATCTGCTTTTACCGTGGTCCCAGCCCTGGCTCCTCGGCAGCGAGGCTAGCCACACTCCGCTGATGTTTGTCACCATGAGGGAATAATCTCCAACAGGCAGGCACACTGTACAGCAAAGAATAAAAACAATGGAGAGGATATTCACAAAGAAGCTAAGTGCTTACTTTTACCAAAAATATTAAAAATTAGTTCCATGATTTGACCTTAACCAAACAGCACTGAGTTTACAATTAACACCTCCCCGCAAAAAATAAAAATGAATAAAAGAACATCTAAGCACGATGCCCATTCGTAAGTAATTTGCTTGATTACTGAAATAAAAATTACATCCTTAAATCACTTACATAAAATTTCTATAAGAAAAAAATCAGTTTCCAATTTGGGGAAGGGAGGAAAAATAGAAAACAATGTCCTGGATATTAAAAATAAATCAGATTTCTCTGCCATCTCTACATTCAGGAAAAACGGACATGCTGTGTGGTTGCCACTGGCTACCTGGAAAGAAGTTTCTGGTTTAACAGACACTGGAACACAGCATTCTATTCCCATCACATACCTCAAAGGGCGTGGTACAGTCACAGGTCCTCTCCCGCTGTATCCTGGCCTTCACACCAGAAACTCACTTGGAAACGGACTTTTACATCCAACTATTACACTTTCTTAATTCACTGTCTCCTTTGCTTCTTAAAAATAATTTATTCAGGAAAACGGGATCATCGTTATAAATGTAAATATTGTTCTAAGCTATCTGCTGCCTTCAAAAGACATTTTCACATTCACAGCACTCTCTCCATTTCGTATCAAGGTTGTCCTACACACATTTTTACTTTCACGCAAATACGATGCTCTGCTACCTTTGAATTCTACTACATCACCTCACGGACTCTACCCTTCCTCTTCCAAGATAAGAGCTAATCTTCTGTTAGAGAGTAAATATGGCAGAGGCCCCATTTTGATGTCCTCAAAAGGAAAACAAATCATCCTCGCACACAGCTAAACTGCATTCTGTGTCCTTGCTTTTCTTCCACTCCCTCTGCAGAAGCCAGCTTCAGTCATACCTTCTCAGTGGAACTTGCCCAGCACAGCTGCCCGGGCAGGAGTGATGGACACCATAGGGTTTAAGCCTCCTCCCTTCAGTCCCTGTCCCGCACCACCCGCTCCCCTGAGCCCTTCTATACTAACGACTGAGCTCCTTCGGACTCGGTCTGACTGCTCTCATCTCCCTACCCCTCACTAGTCAACGTTATCTGAGCCACAGGGACCGGGGAGACAATTCTAGATACCTCGGTCCTCCGTTGATGTTAAACACAATCAGATGCCTTGATCTTGTTTATGCGTATACCAGCTAAACTCTATCTCTATATTTTCTGTAGGAAAATTCAAATCTCCTTTCTTTTCCTTCCTCCTCCCCCCATCCCCGCACCACTGGAATCATTTGACTGGGCATTTAGTGAACTAATAATACTTTTGAACCAGAAGATATCGTTTGACATTCTGAATGAACTAAACTCTGAAATGTGGACACTGTTCTCTCGGCTTGTGATTGTCAGGAGGGTAACGTCTGTGCATCCCTAAAAGTCATAGGTGGCTTCCACACCTTTCCTCTCCACTTTCATCCTGTTCTTTTGAAGACATCCTTGGTGGGCTTTATGAGCTTTGAACAGAATCAAGTGGAAAACAGCAAAGAAAATCTTACTCTTTGAAGAGGCACCACGCCAGAGCATACAGACAGATCAGGAGAAGAGCTCCGGTCAGGGTCAGCACGGCAGGAAACCAGCTATCCGGGCTCCAGTAGTACAAGGTCTTCCTTACCACAGAAGTAGTCATCTGAGAAACACAACTCTTATTTACTAGAGCTATTAAAACACGAAGCACAGGGCATTCTGAGTTCATTATCCAGGTCACTGCTTCTTGTTTCTGTTTATTAAGATATGATTATCACCTGATTTTTATTTGAAATATTAAAAAAATCCGCAGGCGGCAAGTTACAAGGCAAACTAAAGTAACCCTTCTGCCAGTAAAAACACATGTTCTTCTTTAGAAACAAATGTCTTTGTCCCTAGCATTGCCCCTGGCCAGAACCCTCCAGACTGCTCACTTGCTGAACATTTGTCCCCTGTCTGGCTTTTCCTTCGCCTGTTAGCCTCCGGGATCACAGTTCTCTGGTAACATCTACACATTTCACTGTATCGACTTCCTTCCAACCAGCTTCTTTCCCCCTACAGGGAAATAAACTCTTACTGAAAAGTGACCATTTCTTGCTCTTTGTGGGGGCTTTCTGCGGTTTGGGGCTGGGACAAGGCGTTGATGAGCATTGGCGAGCTGACAGACTGAATGAGTCAGCACGTGTTTACAGGGAAAAGCACCATTTCACAGATGAGTCAGATCACCGTGGGCCTCCTTGCTTCCTGCCATGAAACGCAATTTTTTCCTCCAATCTCCTTATTTCTCTTACTACCTAAAGCACAACCATGTCAGAAGACAGAAACAGAAGTTAGCTATAGATTCTAAATCCAGGACTCCGGGAAGAGCACAGGCCACCAGATGGCAGCAGACGTCAGCATAAATGTGTTCAACCTTCGGCATCCAGAACGTCATTTCTTCAGGTAACACAATCCAGGAGGTGAGTTTCACAGAAACACACACACACACACACACACACACACACACACACACGCACACACGAGTGTGGGAGGGGCAGAACTTTGCAAATAAAGAAAAAAGGGATCAATGGTGGCAGCAGAAATAGCACTACTTACATAACTCAGTGGGGGGAGTTCGGGTTGCTCTTGGATTTTGCTGGTCTTTGAGATTAAATATAGTCTCACTAAACATTCTGTTTTATAGTACAATGGAACGGGCATGTCTAGACAAAGGAAGATCAAGAAACCAGACTAGGCTGAGTTTGTTGAAATGCTCTGCTCTTATTTTCCTCAATACATAAGGGTACACTGTATTTCCAAAGAATAAATAAAATAAATAGACAGCAATTTGTCACTTAATCACTTACCTCTACTTTCAGCTCATTAGGAAATAAAACCCCTGCAAGTGCATTAGTGAAGGGTGTGTCTTCAAACGCGAGATCCACCCTACACCAGCCTGCCTGCCTTCCTTCCTTCCTTCCTTCCTCCCTCCCTCCCTCCCTTGCTTCCGTGTTTTTTCCTGAAAAAATATTTATTCAACATTTTCCATATTGCAGGAATCATCATCTAAGAGATAATAAAATCTTAAAGCCAGAAAGGACCCGGCCGTCATTCGTCCATCAGCCGCCAGGCGGCAGGGCTGGTGTTCAGCCTCCTGGCTTAGTTATTTCCATGTTCCCGATCAATCCCCGTCTCAGAAGAGAGACGTTCCCACCACCGATACACAAAGAAGCAACTGAGGCACAGGAGCACTGTGTGTCTGCCCGAAGATTCGGCCGATGGGCAGAGTCGTCTTTGTCCCTTCAGTAGGCTCCGCTGGGCTCCTCGTCTCCAAATGAGAGTGGAGAGTTGTAAGAAAACATCTAACCTAAACCAAGGGACTGAGGGACCATTGTGTCAATCACCCTAGCCTTCGTGTAGTAGAAATTGTCAATTTTTGGCCATGAAAATCTACCTCCGCAGAACCAAAGACATCTAAAAACTGCTTAGAGATTAAATACAAGTGTTATCCTCACCTCTTGGGTCTCACTTGCCTGCAAACAAGGGTATATTTTGCAATTTCTTTTTTTTCCATCTCTCCATCATATGCACAGAACAATTTATCTAATACTTTTATTTTCAAAAAGGAAGCCACATCTTTCTAAAAACATTTTCAAAGTGTAAGAAAAGTTTGGATATGACATTGTTTCAGTAATGATGGAGAAAGAGCAGTCTTTCTACATGGATTAAATATAATATTAATGAATTATATTTACATAACATGCTTATTACAAGAACTTTCTTGTATCTGGTTTCATTTGATCCTTCCAACATCTTTGGTACAATACATAGAGCCATTCTAATCCTTCTAGTAACCCATGTACACAGAGTAAATATTTAAATGTGGCTTATGTGCAGCCCTGGCTCTCTGCGCTTTCCAGTTGGTGATTCAAAACAGTTCTAACCGAATTTGAGAGTTAGCATTTCATACTCTCAGCCCTTTGCTTTCCCAGCGTACACAATTTCTCTTTATGTTGTCATTCATTTTCAGCTTTCTGGCGCCCCCAGAAGACCACAACCATGAGGACAAGAGTACTCACTTCTGCCCTTCTGCCCGGCCCTGTGCGCGCAGCTGGACTTTGCTCACCACTTCTGGTCCCGTCTTCTGTAATTTATGCCCTGTTCTGCTGGCCTACTTTTAAATCCAAAACAATTCAAAAATTTGTGCTGTCTTTAAAGCAAAATCCCAAATCCACAGCTTCAACTCCAGATCTTTATCCATCTCCTAAATACTTATTTTCCTTCCTTTTCTCATCAGGACACATTCGGAGCACATACTGCTCCCACTGGAGCTGGCTCTCGTGCAGAACACATCCTAATCCCTTTCTTCATCCCCTCCCCCTCGGCTCTATCCTCCATCCCTCCGTAGCTTGATCTCCTTCCCACTCGAGAAAGAAAGAACTATCTCTCAACTTCCCATTATCTATCTTCTGCTTTGCTTTTTCTTTACACTTTGGGTTTTCCACGCGATAGGTGAGCTTGTGTGTCTGATTTGTTTCACTTAACATTGTGGTTTCGAGGTGCATCCACAGTAATTCAAGTTCACCTGTCTGCATGGCAGAGTATGTACCACTGTGTGCGAATGCCACGTACGCTTTGTCCACTCATCTGTGGATGGACACGGAGGCCGCTTCCCAGGTTAGCTGGTGTCACTTGTGCTGCTGCGCTCACGGGTGTGCACGGGTCACGGGGCTGTGATGAGGTTGACTCAGGAAGACACCAAGAAGAGGAGCAGAACACCCGCTTTTCCACTCTGCCTATAGCTACCGGCTCGCACTGGCTCTCCACACATTTGGTCGCTCTCCTTTCACAAACTGATCATGTTCTCTTGTCCATGTTCCTTGGTGTGCACCATTTATGAATGCCTTGGCTTCTCTCTTTGTCGATTAAAAGCCTACATAAAATTCAAGTAACTCTTTCTGGAGTTTCTTGTTCTTCAAGCCTGGCCCTTTCTGATATACTCTTCCTCCTCTGTGGCAGTTGTCAAACTAGCTTGCGATTTGCTTTATTGGAAGCAAACCTGTGCATGTACTGTGGCGGATACATCCGTGCTGACGTGGCCTCTGCGTCCTTCACATCAGCTCTGTCTTCCTTCCCAGCACTCTGGCTTTCCTGCTCGGAGGGGTCTTCAGATCTCAGACATTTCTGTCTCTCTCACTTTTCCTGGATTTGCCAGCTACCGTGTTTGTGACCTCACAAAAATTACTTCTACTCCTGTTTCTTCTGTGTCCGAAGACAATGATATTTAAGATTTTGAATCTGCTTAGATCAAATGACGGATTTACATGAAATTAATGTGAAAACTTAATGTGTAAATAGATTTACCAACATACATTGCATGAGTAGGCAGTAACAACTGTTGAAATATTACATTGTATTATTTTCTCTGAAGAACAACTATTATAATGTGCTTCAATCATTACACCTCTGTACATCATTATAGGCCTTAGGTGTAGGAGAGTGCAACATGAAAAAGTTTTAAATTCATTTTTAAACGTCTGTTGGAATTCTTTCCTACTGCTCACAGGGCTGCCTAACCACACAGCACAAAGCACAAAGGACAGGGAAAGCAATGGCCAGGACTGACAGACCCTGGGCTGTGTAATTAGCAACTGCTACTCAGGTTTATATTCTGAAATATATATCTATAATTCAAGTTAAATAGAGGTCAGATTTCTATAGAAGAATGTTACTTAATTTTCAGTAGTAAAACACTAAATTAGATATGCAGCTTTTACACATCTGCTCAGAAAAGCACTACAAAATAATAAATGTTATAAAATAAAAATTAGAAAATATTAGTAACTCGGAGAAAACGCTATAACTATTTTGTTCCCGGTGGGAACTACGAAGGAGAACAGTCATTTCATCAAACACGAGGAATGTTTTCAAACAATCCTCGCCTGTGTTCTCTCTGGTCAGTAAACAATGATGAGATAACTAACTTCCTCTGCTATGCCCTCGTGGGGACCGCGCACTGCACTGAGGGACTTGGGAAACGGCTTTAAATAGTGTCCTCCGGCAGGCTGGAAACCGAGGCTCCTCTGTGAGCAAAGCCTTGCTCCCGGTGTGCAGAGACGGAGCAGAGGGCCCTGGTCTCAGGCCCCCTCTGCTGTGGCCCTCAGGACGTCTCCAGGGTGAGCCGCGCCACTGCCTTCCTGCCGTGCTGCTGGGTCCCAAGATCGCTGGATGGGTAAGAACTCTCCACCGGGTCTTTGTGAAACCAGACCACCGCCAATCCTTCCTGTCCGACTTCCTTCTGAAACTCTCATTCCCTGTTCATTGGCAGGCCCGTCCGTATTACCAGTGAGTGACTAGGACGAGCATTTTAGAAATGAATCCTGGAATTGTTTAAGTTCGCTGCTTTTTCCTTCGCTGTATTATCCCAAGATCCTCTCCCGCATGCTCATGTCCTCAGTGTTACTGTAGTCGATATGGGTTGTCAAATGAGAACAAAGGAACACACATTTTCAAGTAATCACTGCTCCAGAGGGAAAGACACAATAAAGCATCTGGGCATGGTGGCGCCTGCCTGAAATCCCAGCACTCAGGAAGCTGAGGCAGGAGGCTCGCTGTGAGTTTAGACCAGCCTGGGCTACACAGTGAGTTCCAGGTCAGTCTCAAGTATGTAGTGAGACCCTGTCT